GCCTCAGCCTCCCAAGTAGCTGGGACTACAGGCGCCCGCCACAACGTCTGGCCTTTTTTTGGTTGCAGCCATCATTATTGTTTGGCAGGCCGGGCTGGGGATTCGAACCTGCCACCTTAGGTGTATGTGGCTGGTGCCTTAGCCGCTTGAGCCACAGGCGCTGAGCCCTTTATTAGAATTCTTATGCTCAGACTGATGAGACTAGGAAGTACTAGAATTGGCTGTGAGGTGAAAGCAAAGAAAGTATTTTAAAAATTCTATGTAAGAAAATATTCATTTTATACATCTTAAAGTATAAAACATATAAAAGTATAATATGTTATTATATTCTTAACTTGGTGGGCAATAAAAAGACAAAAATTCTTCGACAGCCAAGACTAGTGACAGGATATAATTTTGAAACTGTGTAAAATACTATTTAATAAGAAACCATAACTTAAGTCAGAGAGACCAAAACGGAGGACTGTGTGGGACTGTGTGGGACTGGAATATGATCAGAGTTTAACTCATAATTCAAAGTAAAGTAGCAAGTCCTCATGCAGTCCTGATGATATGCCAGCCACTATCCCAAGTGATTTAAATGTATTAATGGGGCTCGGTACATGTAGCTCAGCGGATAGAGTGCCAGCCACATGCACTAGAGCTGGCGGGTTCGAATCCAACCCAGGCCCACCAAACAAAAATGACAAATACAACCAAAAAATAGCCAGGCATTGTGGTGGGCACCTGTAGTCCCAGCTACTTCGGAGGCTGAGGCAAGAGAATCACTTAAGCCCGAGAGTTTGAGGTTGCTGTGAGCTGTGACACTACGGCACTCTATCGAGGGTGACATAGTGAGACTCTGTCTCAAAAAAAAAAAGAAAAAAATTTAATGTCTTCAAGAGTACAAGTGAATCTTTCGAAAAGTAGACTATAAACCTCTTAACACAATAACTAAGAAAATGACAAAGTTATGTCAAAGTTATGTTAACTAGTTTGATGAAAATATTTCAAATTGTATGTGAAAACACCACACTGTACCCCATGATTGCATTAATGTATACAGCTAACATTTAATTAAAAAAATGTAATGTCTTAATGGATTTAGTTCTCAGAACAACCTGATGTGCTTGGTTTTATACTCATTTTATAGATGAGGAAACTGTGGCACAGATCAGTTAAATAATTTACCCAAGGTTATGCAGCCAGTAAATGATAGTGCTGGGGATATGACCTTAAGCAGTCTTATTCCAAAGCCTGTGGTCCGTTTATTTTTTTTTTGAGACAGAGTCTCACTATGTTGCCCTCGGTAGAGTGCTGTGACATTACAGCTCACAGCAACCTCCAACTCTTGGGCTCAAGCGATTCTCTTGCCTCAGCCTCCCAAGTAGCTGAGAGTACAGGTACCTGCCACAGTGCAGGCTATTTTTTGTTTCAGTTGTCATTGTTGTTTAGCAGGCCCGGGCTGGGTTCCAACCCCCCAGCCTGAGTGTATATGGCGGGTGTCCTAAACACCATGCTACAGGTGCCAAGCCCAAAGCCTGTGGTCTTAACTGTATAGATTGTACTTTTTCTACCTTGAATTCTTTACAGCCCCACAGCCCAATCGGAGGGGTTCTCTGTGCACAGGCTGCCCTTATTGTTCCATGGAGGCCCGGCCCACCACATCAGGCACAAGCCATCTGCTGACAGCTGGTGACCTGTGGACTGGCCTCACTTGAGTCCTTTGGCCAACACTGTTGTGATGGGACTGGTCAGACCCTCTGCCTTTGAGATTTTTGTGTGAGGTAATGAGAAGATGCTGAATGCCTGAACTGGTGTTGAGGTAGAGAGAGACCCCAGGGAAGGCAGGAAAGAGACATCAGGAAGCAGCAGGAACCATAAGTAAGCAGGAGTCAGTCGGGAGGTAGCCAGGGACAGGGTGGGAGCCAGTCAGCTCTGGGGTAGGAGGGGAGAGCAGGCTCTGAAGAGCACAGTTCCATATCAGGCTGTGAATGAAGACCACACGGCAGCTCCAGGTTGATCCTGGGTTACCAGAGCTCTCTGTGGCATCTTGAAATGTCATGAGCAACATTTTCTGTGAAGCCAGCAGTGCAATTAGAGATAGTTTCTTGTCCTTTTTAGGTTCCTATGAAGCTTTATAATAAACTCCCATTCAGGCTCTCTTCCTCGGGGCTACCTACGGAGGTGGCAGCCCTCAGACCCCATGTGAAGCTGAAGATCATCAAAAAGAAGACCAAGAGGGCTCGGCACCTGTGGCTCAAGTGGCTAAGGTGCCAGCCACATACACCTAAGGTGGCGGGTTCAAATCCAGCCCGGGCCCACCAAACAACAGTGACAACTACAACCAAAAAATAGCCAGGCGTTGTGGTGGGCGCCTGTGGTCCCAGCTACTTGG